AATGAGAAGGAAGGACTCACTGGAGAAGGGCCTAATGCTGGGAAAGATTGAGGGCAATAGAAGAAGGGGACGACAGAGAATGAGGTGGCTGGATGGAGTCACTGAAGCAGTAGGCGTGAGCTTAAATGGACTCCAGAAGATGGTAGAGGACAGGAAGACCTGGAGGAACGTTGTCCATGGGGTCGCGATGGGTCGGACACGACTTCGCAATTAACAACAAGAAATTATGTGCATTTTCTTATACCCCTTTTGCTAATGTACATGTTTGTGTGTTTGGGCATCTCTAGGCATTTTCTTTTAGATGGCAATTGCATTTTGGCTTGCATATCAGTTCAGGAAACACAAATATTATTAAGTTAGCATCTAAATGCAAATCTGCACTAGTGGAAAGGACTGATTATAGTGCCATCCCAGTGGAAGCTACTGCTGTGATGGAAAAAGGGATGGAGCAGGGAAGGGTGCAGTCCTCTCCATCATCATGGCAAGATGGTGAACAACAGGTTATAGGGCACAGCAGAGGGAACCTCCTTCTCTTCCTTCCAAGGGATACTGTGTGTAGAAAGTTATATTTCCTTTCATTACAAACCAACAACCAATAAGGATCTAAAAATGGCTTCAAGCAAAAAAAGAGAATCCAAGCATTTATTGCTGACTTCACATCATAGACTGTGCTTCCTTCTACTGGCCAAACGTAGTACTACTAAACATACTTGGGGGAAAATACCTAAGCAGATAACTTGCAGAGTAGGCTTTTTGACTTCTGCATTGCCTTAAAAAAGTTGATCCAGATGATATTATGTTATGCTGGTTAACCCTGAAGGGCCAGGTTGAGACAGACCATCCTGAAGAAAATCTATTCATGTGGTTATTAAGAGCTGTCGCTGATTTGATGGCACATAATCAGACACTGTCAATAAGCCTGGGTTAGATGTTGGCAGAATAACCTGAAAATTATGGGGAAGCTGTCAATAAATAATTCCAAAATAGGTGTACATGTAAGTATTTGTAAATCTGTAACACCAAATGCTAGGAATGGGGAATTCCAGATTCAAGCATTTCTGCTGTCGTAATCAGATTTATTAATCATCTTTTCATGTTCTAAAATAATCTCCAAAGAAATGGTCACTGCCTGCTATTGAAAAGCAGAATATATATATATTTTAAAAGCCACAAAGCAGATATTGCAGCCCTGATTACTCCCTTAAAGATACCAAGAGCAATGTGGGAAGAGACTACATCAGAGGTCTTCAAACTTGGCCCTTTTATGACTTGTGGACTTCAACTCCCAGAATTCTTTAGCCAGCCACGCTGGCTGAGGAATTCTGGGAGTTGAAGTCCACAAGTCACAAAAAAGGGCCAAGTTTGAAGACCCCTGGACTATATTGTACATAAGTCAGAAGCAAGGGTTACAAGTAGTCTTTGGATTGGGACCATTTGTTTAGCAACCATTCAGGGTAATGAAGGTGCTGAAAGAGTGGACTTATAACTGGTCCTTGGAGTTCCAGCTGTTGCAGTATCCCCATGGTCATGTGATCATGGCTGAGATGAAGACGCCACTATATTCTGTCACCACCAGCAGCACCAGCAGCGGATCTTCCTCCTGGTTCTTCTCCTTGACACATCCATCTTCTTCCTCTTCTCAGCACTGGCTCCCTCCCCCTCCCCCTCTGGGCTTTCCAACATTCTCTGGCCTTCAGGCCCACAGAGCAGAGTTCTGTCAGTGTTGGCCTCAGAGGGAGTGATGAGGGATGGGGCAAGCCCAGTTTCAACAGAGGCCCAATGGGGCTTGAGGATGGCCAGGGTTGGTGAGTCCCACGGAAGAAAGGCGAGGCAAAAGTGAAGAGAAGGAGGAAGAGAACAATGGTGCTCAAGAGGACAGAGAGGAATGTCCTCTGGGAGTGGTGGCAGCTGGTAAATGGTGGCAGCGGAATAGAGAGGTGTCTTCATCTCAACCATGTTGCGTAGGGTGGCCAAAAGGATGGTGGGAGATAAGTGTGTGTGGTGTGTGTGGGAGATAGTTCATGCAGGGCAGGGGAAGCAAGCCATCCTTTTCTGGCTCAGTGATCCCCTGAAACCGTCCTTAGCTTTGGAAGAATCGAGGCTCGTGTCTGGGAGGGACCAAGCCAGGGATGGCTTGAATCTTTTGGGAGGCAGGAGACTTGATTGCCAGCTGGCTTCTAAGCAAAAAAACAAAACAAAACAATGGGGAATTCATGCAGAGGTCACAGGTTGTGGTCATGTAAGGTCCTTGTTTAATGACTGTCTGCTCCTCACTAACAACTGCATCTGGGACTGCTGGAATTGCCATTGCTAAGCAGCATAGTCACAGGATGTTTCATTTAATGATGGTTTTGCTTAGTTAGAAATTCCAGCTTCAATTAAGGTCAATAACTGAGGACTACTCTATCTGTACACAGAACAATGACTTTAAGAAGATTTCCACACCAGAACCCTAAAATGTATTTCATCCCCCCAAAAAGACCATTTCTGTAGTCAAAACAAAAGTAGTTAAAAGGGTTCTAAGCAGTACTCTTCCATAAAAATTTAGGGGCAGAGGAACATAAGAATTACCTTACAACATAATAGGATAAGCCAAATTCTGGAAGNTAGTTTCATCCTAATTCAAAACATAAGCTTTATTTTGAAACTTTCTCCTAAGTGCAGATACATTTTTACTCATAGCAATAATGAGAAAGCATTTAGATCAGTGGTTCTCAACCTTTTTAATGCCGCGACCCCAACCGGTTGTAAGTCGAGGACTAAACCGGTCGTAAGTCGAGGACTAAACCGGTCGTAAGTCGAGGACTAAACCGGTCGTAAATCGAGGACTTTCCCTGCCCGGGAGCGCTGCACATGCGTGGTTCCGCCCCCTGCGCCGGCCGAGGCGTAGCTGGCAAGCGGCAGAGACGGAGCAGGCCGACCACCAGCTGGCCCAGCCCAAGGGAGGTAAGGCACCCGCCGGAAAAGGGAGAAAAAAATGGGGGACAGCCTTGCTTGGCGACCCCGTGAAATGGTCGATCGACCCCAAATGGGGTCCCGACCCACAGGTTGAGAACCACTGATTTAGATCATATGGGGAACCCACTGAGACAGTTTCCATGTATTAATGGAGATGCCAATTCGTAGCATATTGCTGATCATAAGCAGTCACATATGGGCTGGGTGATGGAAAATTCTTCTTGAAAATCAGATAAGAAGCATTTTCTGTTAGCAGAGCCCCTTCTCAACCAATAAAACAGTTGGAAAAGGTTGTGATCTGGGAAGGAGAATATATGTTTCCACCCATCCTGTTTCATTTTCTAGATCCAACTTGTTCTCTTCTCTGCTTTCTTCCGCTAGCAGTAAACAGGTTCTTTTGCTAATTCTTCAGTCAACTAGTTCTCAGGTGAAGAAATTTTTAGTCAAGTAGCAACAGAGCAGAAATGGTTGCCCTCCAGGAAACAGTTCATTTTACCTGCCGTATCTCCCAGTTCACGTTCCATTGTTTCATATTTGAATACCTCCAGGTTGTAATTGGGTCCCCAGTAGCAATGTCTATCCTAATCAGCCTGTTATAAGAAATCCCCAAGAGATCATCCTTCTTGCTTCCTTTAAATCTAAGGGAAAGAAGAAGAAGAGAAAAACCCAACCAATTGCTTCTATTTCTCCAAGCAATGATCCCCATGTGCATTAGTTACTCTCAGACTGAGCAGCAGGAGAAAAGAATTAGAAGTAGTCCTTGACCTACATCCACTCATTTAGCAATTGTTTGAAATGACAAGGGCGCTGAAAAAAAATGACTTAAAACCCGTCCTCCTTGCAGCATCCCCATTGTCATGCGATCAAAATTTGGGTGCTTGGCAGCTGATATTTATTTTCTACGGTTGCAGCATCCCAGGTCATGGGATGGCTGTTTGAGACTTTCCCAGCTGGTTTCCATCCAGCAAAGTCAATCGGGGAAGCTGGATTTGCTTAATAACTACATAATTCACTTAACAACCACAGAGATTAACAACCGGTGCAAAAAGGTTCGTAAAATCAGGTGGGATTCACTTAACAACTGCCTTGCTTAGGAACAGAAACTCAAGTACCAATTGTGGTTGTAAGTCAAGGATTATCTATATATTATCCTTTTCATAAAACCAGTGAATTAAAACAGCAGGGAGTGATTTGATTTTGGGGCATGTTCCATTCAAACTCTCGATTCCCTTTCTCACTCCCAAATCAGTACTTTTGAGTCCATCTATTATGTGCATCATATCAACAACCTAAGATATGCAGAAGATACCACTCTAATGGCAGAAAGTGAAGAGGAACTAAAGAGCCTCTTGATGCGGGTGAAAAAGGAGAGTGTAAAAGTTGGCTTGAAACTCAACATTAAGAAAACCAAAATCATGGCATCTGGCCCTCTCAATTCCTGGCAAATAGATGGAGAAGAAATGGAGGTAGTGACAGATTTTATTTTCCTGGGCTCTAGGATCACCTCAGAGGAGGACTGCAGCCAAGAAATTAAAAGACGCTTGCTCCTGGGGAGGAAAGCTATGGCAAATCTAGACAGCATACTAAAAAGCAGAGACATCAAGTGCCAACAAAAGTGCATATAGTCAAGGCCATAGTTTTCCCAGTTGCAATGTATGGATGTGAAAGTTGGACCATAAGAAAGGCTGAGCGACAAAGAACTGAGGCCTTTGAACTATGGTGCTGGAGAAGACTCTTGCGAGTCCCTTGGACCGGTCAGTCCTAGAAGAGATCAACCCTGACTGTTCTTTAGAAGGCCAGATCCTGAATATGAAACTCAAACACTGCTCTTTAGAAGGCCAGATCCTGAAGTTGAAACTCAAATACTTTGGCCACCTAATGAGAAGGAAGGACTCACTGGAGAAGGGCCTAATGCTGGGAAAGATTGAGGGCAATAGAAGAAGGGGACGACAGAGAATGAGGTGGCTGGATGGAGTCACTGAAGCATTAGGCGTGAACTTAAATGGACTCCAGAAGATGGTAGAGGACAGGAAGACCTGGAGGAACGTTGTCCATGGGGTCGCGATGGGTCGGACACGACTTCGCAATTAACAACAAGAAATTATGTGCATTTTCTTATACCCCTTTTGCTAATGTACATGTTTGTGTGTTTGGGCATCTCTAGGCATTTTCTTTTAGATGGCAATTGCATTTTAGTTTGCATATCAGTTCAGTTTGCATATCATATCAGTTCAGGAAACACAAATATTATTAAGTTAGCATCTAAATGCAAATCTGCACTAGTGGAAAGGACTGATTATAGTGCCAACCCAGTGGAAGCTACTGGTGAGATGGAAAAAGGGATGGAGCAGGGAAGGGTGCAGTCTTCTCCATCATCATGGCAAGATGGTGAACAACAGGTTATAGGGCACAGCAGAGGGAACCTCCTTCTCTTCCTTCCAAGGGATACTGTGTGTAGAAAGTTATATTTCCTTTCATTACAAACCAACAACCAATAAGGAGCTAAAAATGGCTTCAAGCAAAAAAGGAGAATCCAAGCATTTACTGCTGACTTCACATCATAGACTGTGCTTCCTTCTACTGGCCAAATGTAGAACTACTGAACATACTTGGGGGGAAATACCTAAGCAGATAACTTGCAGAGTAGGCTTTTTGACTTCTGCATTGCCTTAAAAAAGTTGATCCAGATGATATTATGTTATGCTGGTTAACTCTGAAGGGCCAGGTTGAGACAGACCATCCTGAAGAAAATCTATTCATGTGGTTATTAAGAGCTGTCGCTGATTTGATGGCACATAATCAGACACTGTCAATAAGTCTGGGTTAGATGTTGGCAGAATAACCTGAAAATTATGGAGAAGTTATCAATAAATAATTCCAAAATAGGTGTGCATGTAAGTATCTGTAAATCTGTAACACCAAATACTAGGAACGGGGAATTCCAGTGTTCAATAGATTCAAGCATTTCTGCTGACCTAATCAGATTTATTAATCATCTTTTCATGTTCTAAAATAATCTCCAAAGAAATGGTCACTGCCTGCTATTGAAAAGCAGAATATATATTTTTTTAAAAAGCCACAAAGCAGATATTGCAGCCCTGATTACTCCCCTAAAGATACCAAGAGCAATGTGGGAAGAGACTACATCAGGGGTCTTCAAACTTGGCCCTTTTATGACTTGTGGACTTCAACTCCCAGAATTCTTTAGCCAGCCACGCTGGCTGAGGAATTCTGGGAGTTGAAGTCCACAAGTCATAAAAGGGCCAAGTTTGAAGACCCCTGGACTATATTGTACATAAGTCAGAAGCAAGGGTTACAAGTAGTCTTTGGATTGGGACCATTTGTTTAGCAACCATTCAGGGTAATGAAGGTGCTGAAAAAGCGGACTTATAACTGGCCCTTGGAGTTCCAGCTGTTGCAGTATCCCCATGGTCATGTGATCATGGCTGAGATGAAGACGCCACTATATTCTGTCACCACCAGCAGCACCAGCAGCGGATCTTCCTCCTGGTTCTTCTCCTTGACACATCCATCTTCTTCCTCTTCTCAGCACTGGCTCCCTCCCCCTCCCCCTCTGGGCTTTCCAACATTCTCTGGCCTTTAGGCCCACAGAGCAGAGTTCTGTCAGTGTTGGCCTCAGAGGGAGTAATGAGGGATGGGGCAAGCCCAGTTTCAACAGAGGCCCAATGGGGCGTGAGGATGGCCAGGGTTGGTGAGTCCCACGGAAGAAAGGCGAGGCAAAAGTGAAGAGAAGGAGGAAGACAACAATGGTGCTCAAGAGGACAGAGAGGAATGTCCTCTGGGAGTGGTGGCAGCTGGTAAATGGTGGCAGCGGAATAGAGAGGTGTCTTCATCTCAACCATGTTGTGTAGGGTGGCCAAAAGGATGGTGGGAGATAAGTGTGTGTGGGAGATAGTTCATGCAGGGCAGGGGAAGCAAGCCATCCTTTTCTGGCTCAGTGATCCCCTGAAACCGTCCTTAGCTTTGGAAGAATCGAGGCTCATGTCTGGGAGGGACCAAGCCAGGGATGGCTTGAATCTTTTGGGAGGCAGGAGACTTGATTGCCAGCTGGCTTCTAAGCAAAAAAACAAAACAAAACAATGAGGAATTCATGCAGAAGTCACAGGTTGTGGTCATGTAAGGTCCTTGTTTAATGACTGTCTGCTCCTCACTAACAACTGCATCTGGGACTGCTGGAATTGCCATTGCTAAGCAGCACAGTCACAGGATGTTTCATTTAATGATGGTTTTGCTTAGTTAGAAATTCCAGCCTCAATTAAAGCCATAACTGAGGACTACTCTACCTGTACACAGAACAATGACTTTAAGAAGATTTCCACACCAGAACCCTAAAATGTATTTCATCCCCCCAAAAAGACCATTTCTGTAGTCAAAACAAAAGTAGTTAAAAGGGTTCTAAGCAGTACTCTTCCATAAAAATTTAGGGGCAGAGGAACATAAGAATTACCTTACAACATAATAGGATAAGCCAAATTCTGGAAG